CATTATTAAGGGATAACTCAAAAACTATCGGTCAGTACCTTGATCAAATTTATTTGGGACCACATGAGAAGCACTAGCTTTGAAAAAAAATAGTTATCAAAATCGGTTAACCAAGAAAAAAGTTCTGAGCACACTAACACACATAACAAAGATACAGTCGAATTGAGAACCTCCTCCTGTTTTTGAAGTCGCTTAATAAACACTTTTTTGCCTTGACGTACACTCCACATCATACACTCCACAACTATAATTATGCCAAATCTCACACTCCTTCGTGCGCGCAATATGCTTGAAAAGGCAAACAGTATATATTGTTACGAGTAAAATTAATGCACTACGTGATTGCACGAACTAATTATGGCAAAAAACGCTTTTGCTTGAGGGAGCACAGTTGTTCAATAAATTACCAGATGACAAAAAAGTGCAATAACATGAAATTGTTCAAAAGTAAACTTAGGAAATACGTACGTATAGTGTTATCTCTTTAATTTTTTTATAGTATATGGGTGACAAACGAGCACACAGTTCTCTTGATAGTAAGTAGATGCTGTGGCCTATAAATATCTACAGTTAACCTCGATTATGAATCAAAATGCAAAGGCGTTTTCACTCCTATTATGGACTAAAATAGAATGTGAAAATTTCCAGTAAAAAAAGGGTTTCCTGTTCCCTTTTCTCTACACTCACCATACGGAACACATCGGCATTAAGCTGCTATTTTACGCTGGTATTCTGAGAGCGTGGTCCTTCCCCGGTCGAACCGACCAATTCGTGCTACAACCATAATATAGCTGCAGCGTGGCTCTACCACGTACAAACTTATATGTATGTACGTACTTATACATATTACGTGGTACCTAATGTGTATAAGTGAATAACCTAAGACCATAGCTTCCAACACTAGAGGTAGATGTGATAATATTATCTTAATATAATAATTACTTTGTAACGCATTATAAGTGAACTATTGTCATAGAATAGATAAATAGTACAAGTACCATTGTATTGTGCTTATGAGAAATAATATTCTTTAAACCGAATGAAGTTTTCCTCATGTATTAACATATAAATTAATGAGTTTATTATTAATATTAAAGTACGTGTGACTAACGAGCAAACAATCCACCTGATGGTAGTTCGATACTGCGGCCCATAGACGCGTACATGCAGATGCATTGTCACCACTAAAAGGGTTTACGGTTCTTTACACCCATCACACGAAACACAGCAGCATTAGGATGTTATTTTACGTTTGCGCTGGTACACTGTGAGGGCGTGGGTTGGTTGTACTATAACTTACTGTTTTTAGACCATACCTCTGTTTTTCTATTTTCTCGCTGGAGAATGACGACAATAGAATAATTTTTTACGTGGTAGAGCCATGCTGCAGCTATATTAATAGCATAGTTGTAGCACGAATGGGTCGGCTCGATCGGGGAAGGACCACATCATCATCATCATTACAGCCTGCATCATCATTACAGCCTGCATCATCATTAGAGGCTGCCACTCGAGAACCTTTCTTCCCCATCGGTTGTCGGTTCTTCGAGCTATATGGCCGGCCCATTGCCACTTCAGCTTACTAATCCGTTGGGCTATGTCGGTCACTCTGGTTCTACTGCGGATATCCTCATTTCTGAGTTTATCACGCAGAGAAACTCCGAGCATAGCCCTCTCCATAGCTCGCTGAGCGACCTTGAGCTTCCTCATCCGGCCAGCAGTGAAGGACCACGTCTCAGTTCCGTATGTCATCACTGGCAACACGCACTGGGTGTACAGTCTCGTTTTCAAGTTTTGAGGTATACCTGACGAGAAGATGTGCCGTAATTTCCCGAACGCTGCCCAACCGAGTTGAATCCGTCGATTGACCTCTCGGTCGAAGTTGGACTTACCTAGTCGGACTATTTGTCCCAGGTAAACATACTCGTCAACAACTTCGAGCTTAGTGTTCCCAACAACTACCGGCATAGGTGTGACATGGACATTAAACATGATCTTTGTTTTGTCCATGTTCATCTTAAGACCTATCCGTTGGGAAACACTATTGAGGTCATTGAGCATAGTGCTTAGGTCCTCCAGCGATTCTGCCATAAGGACTATATCGTCGGCAAATCGAAGGTGAGTGATGTACTCGCCATTGATGTTGATACGGTATCCTTTCCAGTACAGAAGCTTGAAAACATCTTCCAATGCAGCGGTAAAGAGTTTCGGGGATATGACGTCACCCTGTCTTACACCTCTCTGCAATTGGATAGGTTTCGTACTCTGGTTCTGTACTCGGATAGCCATCGTAGCCCTACTGTACAAGCACTTCAACACTTCGATATACCGACAGTCAACTTGGCATCGCTGAAGGGATTGCAGCACCGCCCAAATTTCGATGGAATCAAAGGCTTTCTCATAGTCCACATACGCCAGACATGTGGCAAATTGTAGTCCTCGGACTTCTGTACAATTTGCCGAAGGGTATGTATGTGGTCTATGGTGCTAAAGCCTTTTCGGAAACCGGCTTGTTCGGGAGGCTGGAAGTCGTCAAGTCTGCGCGCGAGACGATTCGTAATGACTCTCGAAAACAGCACGTAGACGCGGCTCAGAAGGGAAATCGGTCTGTAGTTCTTCAAGAGAGCGTTGTCGCCTTTCTTGAAGAACAAGACCACCGCACTTCTGCTCCACGCCTCCGGTGTAATGCCACCATGGAGGACGGAATTAAAGAGCTTCTGAAGGACTTCAAGTACCGGTTTTCCACCCGCTTTCAGAAGCTCCGCTGTAATTCCATCATCGCCTGGGGCCTTGCCGTTTTTAAGGAGCTGGAGAGCAATTCTAATCTCGCTCAGACTGACGTTAGGGATATCATTGGAATAATGTCGGATAAGACTCGCTCTTGGATCGTTACTCACACTTGCGTGCGGCTCCAACGATGACGTGTACAGCTGCCCATAGAACATCTCAATCTCACTCAAAATCTCAGGTGCCCCGAAAACGATGCTGCCACATTCGGTCTTCAGCTTTGACAGGTGGCTCTTTCTGGCAGACAGATCTCTGGCAAAGACTTTGGAGCCTTGGTTCCGCTCGATCGCTTCTTCAATACGAGCTGTATTGAAGTTGCGTAAGTCCCGCCGCATGCATTTGGAGATCTGTCTGTTCAGTTGCCTGTATGCTGTCAAGTCTGTTGAAGAATGTAGCTTCATCTCCCGTCTAACAGTCATGAAATTAATAGGGTGATCGGAGAGTTTTTGTGTTCTTCTGCGGCGGGTCTTGCAGATTTTAGCTCCGACCGCATGGACAGTTTCCACGAGCTTGTCATTCAAATCGTCCACTTCATTGCAGTCTTCTAGGCACTGAAAACGGTTTTGTAACTCGAGCTGAAAGGTTTCGGGACCTTGGATTAGAGCACGAGGGGGACGGAGCGTTGACTTCATTAGACGAGACCTCTCCAACTTAACGTTTAGGTTCAGTGTGCCTCTAACCATTCGGTGATCGCTGCCGGTTTTCACCCTCGCGATCACTGAGACATCACTGAACAGTTGTCGTCTGGTCGTCAAAATGAAGTCAATCTCATTTTTTGTCGAACCGTCGGGGCTCGTCCACTTCCTGTGGGGCCGCTTCTGGAAGAAAGAGTTCATCATAAAGAGTCCCTCTTTCTCCATGAAGTCGGCCAGCTGCTGGCCCCTTGGATTCCGTTGTCCTATTCCAAATTTCCCCACTTTCAGCTCACCGTACTCTCTTGTGCCTAGTTTTGCATTGAAGTCTCCCATTAACACCGTATATTGGGTTTTGGAGGAATGCATGGCTCTAGAGATATCCTCATACATTTCCTCCACCTCCTGATCGGGGTGTGCCGAGGTTGGTGCGTAAACCTGTATGACATTCAGCGAATACCGTTTGGTGATTCTGAGTATAAGGTACGCAACCCTCGTCGACACACTCTCAATCTTTACAACGTTGTTAACGAGAGACTTGTGGACGATAAATCCGACACCTCCTTGGGACAGATGGTCGCCCTCCCGGTAATAGAGCAAGTTGCTGGATTCGAGGATTACCGTGTCCTCCCCCTCTCTTCGGACTTCGGATAATCCTATAATATGCCAGCGTAACTTGTCTATCTCTTCTTCCAGCTCCACAATCTTCTCGTCAGTCCTCAGGGTGCGTGCGTTGTATGTTGCCAGGTCGAGTCGTTGTAGGTGGCAACCGAACCTCCACCGGAGATTCTTAGCTTAGCTTATTCGGGGTGCTTACAAAAGACAAAACTGTATAAGTATATTTTCGATTGTATTACGATATGAATGTAGTTAATATATTACTGTTCATTGCGCAAACAGCTGACGATCATCTGTAGGGTAACTCTACCTGTCATTCTTTTAGTTTTTTTTTGTAGCGCACGTGCAACGTGCATTCTGTCAGTACAATTCACGCAATGCAAAATGGACATTCGAGTCATATTTCAAACTGAACTCTATTTACATACGTTAAGGCTGAAATTTGTGTTGAACGTCGATTCTGTGGTTTTTTTTTCAAACATTTCAACCTATCGTTGACATTCGAAAATCAACTCTATTTCGTAATCATAAGGTTTTATTCCGTTCGTTCTTTGTAAAAGGGCGTTTTGTACAATGCATTTTAGTTATGCAAAATTTGGAGCAAGAAATTGCATTTATCGACGTTCAACCGCACACGCCTCGCACACGCCACGCGCCCGCCTCGTCCCCGCTACGCAAAGGAGATGTTCGATTTTGGGCCACCACTATGTACACTACATAGATAAATAGGAAAAAAATTGAGGAATTTCATAAAAATACTAAGAAATTAATTTGAAAAAGGGTATAGCCGTACAAAAATGATCATTTCAAAAGTTTTATGTTATGATAACCCTATTTGAAGGGCAGCCATGACAGTTGTGTTTGATATGACGTTTGACTAGCGATGCAAAGTTTTTAAAAATATCGATATATTGATATCGATATATATTGAATGAAGTTGATATTTATATATCGATATATCGGTCAAGTACGCCGAAGCCGATATATCGATATTTCATCGATATTTTCCTTTTTTTTAAGGTTAATAAAACGAAAATTTGGAAATAAAAAATGTATTATTTTAATATATAATTTAAAAAAAAAATAATTCCAGTATTTTGTACCAGCTATTGAACTTAAAAATAATAACTTAGAAAGTCTGCTTCCATGTAGCCGGTTTCGGCTCTGGGTTATAGTAGCTCCTGCCTTCGAAAAAAGACGTTCTGATGGAACACTTGTTGCTACAATCGGTAGATGACACATTGCCACTTTAAAAAGATTCGGATATACACCCTGCATCTCTTGCCATGTTTCAAGAACATTTACTTTTAAAGTATTTACAGGGGCAGAGAGATATAACGTGAGTTCATCGTCACCGTCAGTTTTTTTTCTTTTTATCTGCGTGTGAGCCAAAGATTTGTGGTACTTCCAAAAATCAAAATCAACTTTTTCTTCATCTTCTGAAGAAGTTGACGAAGCCGTTACGGCAGATTTATATTCAGAAATGAATTTTCTAATTCGAGACATTGCTTTTGCACAAGCTTCCGGTTTTTTAAAATGCAAGTTCTTGAAACGCGGGTCTAGCAATGTAGAAACGGCTAACAACATGTTGTATTCAAGATGGCCGAAACGCTTTTCTATCTCCAGCGTTATATTTCTCTTCAATTCGTCAGCAATAGTCGAAGTCACCCCCAATTCCTTGTATTGGTCAATTGCACAACTCACCATGGGTACAATTTTAGAAATGGTGACGTAACGTTCGGCAGAAGCCTCTCTTGTCATAGCTTCCAGTGGACGCATAACATAAGCAACATCTTTTATAGTGTTGAGCTGAACTGCTGTCAACATTGTAGGTGCATCTATTTTACAACAAATTATGTCACTTATATATGGCGCCAAATCCAAAAATCGTTCAAGCATATAGTACATGGAATTCCATCTCGTTTTTACATCAAGTATCACTTTAAGAGCTTTTTCATCGGGTATTTTACTTTCTATTTGCTTTCTTTTTAATTCCAATGTCTTGTCTCTTTTTTACGTATTTTACTATATTCCTAACATGCTCTATTATATCACTCAGTCCGGAAGTTTTTCTTATGGCCTCTTCAGCAACTCTATTTATCATGTGAGCAAAACATGGGATGTGTTTGTGTGCCCCAAACGTCTCTCTTATTGCTTTAACCATATTTGCACCAGAATCTGTAACGAAAGCCATAACTTTTCAGTATCTATATTCCAACTTCTTAATATTCCTGTCAATTGTTGTCCAATGTACTCGCCAGTATGACTTTCTTCAAATTCTAAAACTCCAATAGTCACAGATTGTAATTCATTCTGTAGCAAAAAATGAACAGTAAGTCCCAGATAACCAGTGTTAGTCAATGTCTCTGTCCAAATGTCTGTAGTCAAACTAAAGTAATCCACATTTTTCAATTTATCCGCCACAAATTTTGATAATGTGTCATACTTTTTATCAATCTTTGCTTTAATTGTTTCCCGACAAGGCACTTTATACAAAGGGGCTAGTTCCTTAATCAAATGTCGAAAACCTTTTCCTTCAACCGCATAAAACGGCCTGTTATCAACTGCAATAAAATACGCAATAGCATCTGTTATCCGGTCGTATTTTGCACCACCTTTAGAATATTGATACACATTTTCAAAAGCCTGTTTTATTTTTGGAGTGTTTGCAGATGTATTAGGAGTAGCGGGCTTAGTTGTAGGGAACACAACCACAGCAGACGAACAAGAAGCTTCAACAGTATCAACTGACGTTTCAGGGGGTTTAGCACTTTCGTCCGATGTTTGAAGATTAACGCTGACTCCAGTACTTCTAGACAAACTAGAAGAAGTACCACCACATTCAGTCAACTTACTGAAAAAGAAAAAAAAACAACGATACTTATTTTTATTTTGCTAGACTAAATATATAATTGTTTTTGTCTTATACAACCATTTGCATGCTTAGGTATATTTTGTCAAAAAAAAGAATATATGCGTTTATATATTCGCGTTATGTATCCGCTTATACCGATATTGATATATTCAATCGTCGATAGTCCACATAATACTAAAGATAAAACGAATGATAACTTAAAAATTTGTTTTAAATATTTCCATCAAATGTAACCTAAATTATATTAAATTGTATATTCATAGTATTTTGTGTTTATTAACTGAGAAACTAGCGACATACCGTTGTGATTTATCGAAGGATTTATCGTCCACATCACAATCTTCTGGATGTTTGTGTTTCATATGTGATGCTAGATTGCTTGTATTTCCAGAAGTTTTAACTCGTTTGTTACAAATAGTGCAAATAACATTACCGTCTCCTTCTTTTTTGAAATAAGACCACAATTTACTTCTTTTCATATTTAAATTAGCAGTAAATAAATGCAAAAATAACAATCAATGACAGCTCAGCTCAGCCTACTCAACATTGTACATACAACTTTATAATTTGTGCTACTCAAGTCTACCACAGCCACAGACTTACACACTTACCATAGATTTGAGAACAGAATCACTTTGTAACACAGTCAGTGTTGCCATGTCAGTAATAGCATTTTACCCGGTTTTGTGAATATTTTAATTTGTGCTGGTTTTCAATATTTTTTGTTTCGATATGTCTAGTTCGATATATCGCGTTTTTTACGATATTGAATTATCGATATCGCTATATCATCGATATCGATAACTATCGATATTTTTAGGTGTCGATATATCGATATTTATCGGTTTTCCGATATATCGTTGCATCCCTACGTTTGACGACTGTGACAGTTTTAGAAGTGACGTCTTTGAGTCTTGTGATTTGGGTTCTGTCGTGTGTTATTTTATAATAACAAATTCAGTTTCAGGTATGTCCCCTATCAGTGCATTTACTCGATGTTTTGTTCAAATGCTATTTCTATGTGATGTTTTCTTCCCTTGTTCCATATTCTAAAAGATTTTTACTCATACTTATTCCAGTTTATTGACAATGGCGTGCCTACAGTGCACCTCTGTAATAGATAAAAATGAATAATATTATACTGCCGATAATATGGGTCCCGAAATAATTTCCGTCATCGAGCGGCATCTTGGCCATCTGGTAAAAAATATTTTATTTATCTATATACTGTAACATCTATAAACACTGGATAACCCCTTTTTTATTTTGTTTTAGGTTGATGGAATGATGTGCTCACAATGCTTTGCTATCATAATGCAAGAAATGTCTAATGATAGTGTTCTTGCACACGGAGATCATGAACTCAGCGTTGCCATGATAGCAATGTTTATGTTAGGTGTAGGACATCTTTGTTTAGGACGTGTGCTCACTCGATTCCCGAGGGTGCAGAAAGGCAATATATTGCTGAAACAATTGCTCCAAGAGAGGTAAGCACCTCTTTTTTTTCTTTTTAATTCATAAAAGGCAGGTAAATGCAGATGTTTCTTATTATGGTCCAAGACAATATCTTTTCAGGAAGAAAAAGAACAGTCACAATTTAGTTTTTGGAAATGTGTGTAGACATGTGACTTATATATAACATCACCTTGGATGAGTCTGTAAAAGTGATATTGAAATAACTGAATCTTGATTAATTTAAATTGTTTAGAAATGTTGTGATATAAATAAATAAATCTTAATTTCATATTTTTTGTTTTAGATACCAGAGGGTGCCTTAATATATTTACTTGTTGGGTACATACAACAACAAGCATACATAGCAGCTTCTACTCTTATGAATATGAATGCAGGTGTATGGTGCTGACGGTCTCTTGCCCAGATACATAGCCACTATACCTGAAGGACCTGAATGGACCATAATAACAGAAACAATATATCCAAGAGAGGTAACAATAACAACTTACTTAATTATCTAGTGTTAAAATTAAATAATTGTGTGAATAGCCAATACATATTGTATTCTTTTCTTTTATTCAGATTCCACCAGGAGGACTGGTTTGCTATGCTTGTTGGGTAGCAGCACATAGAAATGTGGAGCATGCTACAAGGATTGAGGATAATCGGCAAACTCCAGCCCCATCTAGCCTTCACCAAGACTATGTGTGTATGGTGTAGAATGTCGCTACACCGAAGACTAACACACATGGCTAGTGGCCCTGTGAGAGATGAAGTTCCAGCAAGAATTTACCCAAATGAGGTTAGATTATTTTAATTTACCAAACCACCATACACAAGTAACGTTACTGTACTTTCAACTATTAGTAACCCTATCTGTTGCCCCTATGAGTAAATTGTTTTTTTTATTGTTTCAGTTACCATAACATGAGCTTTTTTGTTCCAACTGCTAGACAAATGCCCAGGAAAATATAGGAATGGAGCAAGAAGTGGTGCAACAATTTGATATGCAGCCACCAAGTGCATCAATAACACTTGATGGTTTTACACACACAACACAGACAAGTGCTCATTGTTTTGTGCCGGCTTGTAGCAACATAGAACGAAATAGAGTGCCGGAATACTTAAGAAAAATTATATTAAAAACTCAAAAAATATTTGTGACTTTGGAAAAAATATTATTGATTCCCAATCCCACAAGAAATGATTTAATTAATAGGAATTTATTACTACCCGAAGGCTTGTTTGGAAACAAAGAGGCAAGAGTACCTATAATAATATGTGATGGTACCTATATATATATATCTTCAAAAATCATCCAACTACATGTTTCAAAAACATACTTATAGCTTGCACAAATATAGAAACCTTGTTAAATCTTTTCTCATTGTTGCCACTAATGGTTACATTATTGATATTTTGGGGCCCTATCCAGCAACAAAATCAGATTCTGACATCATGAAAGCTTTATTCCAAAATGAAAACGAGGGTCTAAGGGCTTTTTTCAGCCCAATGATGTTTTCATTTTGGATTGAGGCTTTCGTGATTCCATTCTAATGGTAGAGGGCCCTAACAAAGCCCAACGGCTTCAAAGTATTTAAACCAGAGTCCTTAGAGCAAGGAGAGACTCGATTATCGACCATCAATGCGAACAAAACAAGGTATGTGATACTATGCAGATGGGTGGTAGAGGTAGTTAATGGTCGATTTAAAAGAGACAAAGCTACTGAGACATGAATATTTTAATTTGGCTGCCACCCATTTGATGGACTATGTTCATATTTGTGCAGCTATAATTACTGCCTTCCATCCAGTGATTAAAAATAGACCAGATGCTTATACTATACTTACTCGAGCAATGCAGAGAAAAAATATGCCCAACCGGTTAACAGAACTTATAATTGCTAACCGGATCAACCGCTTTACTGACTTACTAACTTAATACTTTTTGGGTTAGGTACCTATCAAATAAAACAGGCTAGAAGCTATTTCTGGGAACACATTAGGCAGCATGGATCATTTCAGATAGAAGTATCGGACGAACTGGAAGTAGTAGCAGAAGCAACCCTATCCCAACTTGATCCTTTTTTAATAAGAGGCCATATAAAATCTCGACATGCTCAGGACAAACATATACCTACATATTACTGGCAAGGGAAGGATCAAGTGGGGATGATAAAATAATTAGCTATTGTAATTGTATCTTCGGACAACGGACAATGGGTTGCTGTGCTCATGTCATGACCTTTGTGTGGTATTTGGGTTGGGCTCAGTACCAAGAGAGCATAGAAGCACCGGTGTCATTCCTGGATGGAATATTAATAAGGGATGATGTGGAAAACGAATAAAATCATAAGTCCCAACAAGTTGTTTTATTTATATACCTCTCATGACTGATTTCTCATCTTTTTGATGTCGCTAATACTAGGAATTATATAACATTGAACTTGTTTGAGAAATTGATAGTATTTAGTTGGGCATTGTGCCGGCATGGTGGATTACAGTCCACTCCCTCACAGAAAGGAGGTATATGTGCCAGCAGTGGGAATATTATAGGCTGATTATGCTGCTGCTGCTTAATTGAACTAAAATAGTTGGTATCTTCCCAGTTGTTACTGTGTAATAGGAATAGTTAACTACTTTAACAATAACTTGCAGTTGTCAGATATTGCACAGCTCACTGCTCACCTATGAATTATCGAAGTCCAGAATATATTGATAGGCGCTAAAGAATGAAGCAGCAGTGTTACTAAACAAAATAACTTTCAAGCCTTCGTTTCGTTTCGATATAACCAATCTCTAACTACTCTAATAGGTGATATAAGATGTGCTACCGAAATCGAGTAGAATATCCTGTAGTCTAATATTATCGAATCCCAAGATTTTCGAAATTCGTATTGTTTTTTTTATTGCAGATATTCCGATACACGTCAATCAAATGTCAATGTCAAAATGACATTTTTCGTGTTTTCTCTGTGATCCACCATTTTTAATTTAATGTTGTGTTGCTCTCCTTGACCAAGTTAATTTGAATGTACATTGAAACGAAGTGAAATTAAAGAAAACTAACAATAAAAAACGGTTACTATATTATATAGCGATATTTACATATAGTGTACATAGTGCTGGCCCAGGCTCCATACATTTCTGGAACATCTCCTTTCAAAGCGAGTTAGAGGCGGGTGCTGACGCGCGTGGTGTGCGCGTAGCGGGTGCGTGTCGTCGGAACGCGGCCTTAGGCGTATAATAGTTAAGCGGGTCAGCAATTTTGAGTAGTGTAGTTATTAGGAACACTCCGCTGCCCCTCTGTTTCAGTTTCCCTCTGTAAATCTTACGAGACCCACATTATGATATGGGGTAATGGGTTCTCCTACGTTGCACTACACGGCGTACACGCGGCCCTTGTGAACTGTGTAAGTACATTTCAAACTTAATAATTAAAAATTAAAAATTTTGTATAACCGACTTCAATATAAATTATTAAGAATACCTCAAAAACTATTGCTCAGACCTTGATCAAAGTTATATGGGACCACATGTGAAGCTCCAGCTTTAAAATAAAAAAGAATCATCGAAATTGGTTCACCCAGTAAAAAGTTATGAGCTAACACACATTAAAAAAAACATACAGTCGAATTGAGTACCGGCTCCTTTTTGAAGTCGGTAGAAAAAATATCGCAAGCAAACGCAGAAGGATCTTATGGCATCGAAGCCATCGTACAGATTTAAAATGCCCATACTATCGACGGAAAAGCACCGTCAAAGGTGTGAGACGTCTGTAAAGTCCACATTTTTCTACCGACTTCAAAAAGGAGGAGGTACTCAATTCGACTGTACCTGTTACCTCATAACTTTTATTGGGTGAACCGATTTTGATGATTCTTTTTTATTTGAAAGCTGGTGCTTCACATTTTGTGGTTCCATATAAATTTGATCAAGGTCTAAGCAATAGTTTTTGAGTTATTCTAAATAATTTATATTGCAGTCGGTTGTACAAATTTTTTAATTTATATTATTATTTTTACCCAATAGTCCCAGAAGGAGGGTAATGCTTTTCGAGTGTATGTATGCATGTATGTATGTATGTATGCATGTATATGTATTTTTTTAACCATAGATTCGTTTTAACTGTGGGAGTGACATCATTCATCATCATCATCATTACAGCCCTTCACAAGTCCACTGCTGAACATAGGCCTCCCCCAAAGCATGCCACAAAGCACGGTCCTGAGCCACCTGCATCCATCGACTTCCTGCATGTCTTACCAGGTCGTCACTCCATCTCGTGGGGGGACGCCCTACACTTCGCCTACCGGTACGAGGCTGCCACTCGAGAACCTTTCTTCCCCATCGGTTGTCGGTTCTTCGAGCTATATGGCCGGCCCACTGCCACTTCAGCTTACTAATCCGTTGGGCTATGTCGGTTACTCTGGTTCTACTACGGATATCCTCATTCCTAAGTTTATCACGCAGAGAAACTCCGAGCATAGCCCTCTCCATAGCTCGCTGAGCGACCTTGAGCTTCCTCATACGGCCAGCAGTGAAGGACCACGTCTCAGTTCCATAAGTCATCACTGGCAACACGCACTGGTTGTACAATTTCGTTTTCAGGTTTTGAGGCGAGAAGATGTGTCGTAGCTTCCCGAACGCTGCCCAGCCGAGTTGAATCCGTCGATTGACCTCTCGGTCGAAGTTGGACTTTACTCCTAGTCGGACTATTTGTCCCAGGTAAACATACTCGTCAACAACTTCGAGCTTAGTGCTCCCAACAACTACCGGCATAGGGGTGACATGGACATTGAACATGATCTTTGTTTTGTCCATGTTCATCTTAAGACCTATCCGTTGGGAAACACTATCGAGGTCATTGAGCATAGTGCTTAGGTCCTCCAGCGATTCTGCCATAAGGACTATATCGTCGGCAAATCGAAGGTGAGTGATGTACTCGCCATTGATGTTGATACCGTATCCTTTCCAGTCCAGAAGCTTGAAAACGTCTTCCAATGCAGCGGTGAAGAGTTTCGGGGATATAATGTCACCCTGTCTTACACCTCTCTGCAATTGGATAGGTTTCGTACTCTGATTCTGTACTCGGATAGCCATCGTAGCCCTACTGTACAAGCACTTCAACACTTCGATATACCGACAGTCAACTTGGCACCGCTGAAGGGACTGCAGCACCGCCCAAATTTCGACGGAATCAAAGGCTTTCTCATAGTCCACATACGCCAGACATAGTGGCAAATTGTACTCTTCGGACTTCTGTACAATTTGCCGAAGGGTATGTATGTGGTCTATGGTGCTAAAGCCCTTTCGGAAACCGGCTTGTTCGGGAGGCTGGAAGTCGTCAAGTCTGCGCGCGAGACGATTCGTAATGACTCTCGAAAACAGCACGTAGACGCGGCTCAGAAGGGAAATCGGTCTGTAGTTCTTCAAGAGAGCGTTGTCACCTTTCTTGAAGAACAAGACCACCGCACTTCTGCTCCACGCCTCCGGTGTAATGCCACCATGGAGGACGGAATTAAAGAGCTTCTGAAGGACTTCAAGTACCGGTCTTCCACCCGCTTTCAAAAGCTCCGCTGTAATTCCATCCTCGCCTGGGGCCTTACCGTTTTTAAGGTGCTGGAGAGCCATTCTAATCTCGCTCAGACTGACGTCCGGGATATCTTCGGAATAGTGTCGGATGAGACTCGCTCTTGGATCGTTACTCACACTTGCGTGCGGCTCCAACGATGACGTGTACAGCTGCCCATAGAACCTCTCAATCTCACTCAAAATCTCAGGTGTCCCGGAAACGATGCTGCCACATTCTGTCTTCAGCTTTGACAGGTGGCTCTTTCTGGCAGACAGATCTCTGGCAAAGACTTTGGAGCCTTGGTTCCGCTCGATCGCTTCTTCAATACGAGCTGTATTGAAGTTGCGTAAGTCCCGCCGCATGCATTTGGAGATCTGTCTGTTCAGATGCCTGTATGCTGTCAAGTCTGTTGAAGAATGTAGCTTCATCTCCCGTCTAACAGCCATGAGATTAAGAGTGTGATCGGAGAGTTTTTGTGTTCTTCTGCGGCGGGTCTTGCAGAACTTAGCTCCGACCGCATGGACAGTTTCCACGAGCTTGTCATTCATATCGTCCACTTCATTGCAGTCTTCTAGGCACTGAAAACGGTTTTGTAACTCGAGCTGAAAGGTTTCGGGACTTTGGAACAGAGCACGAGGGGGACGGAGCGTTGACTTCATTAGACGAGACCTCTCCAACTTAACGTTTAGGTTCAGTGTGCCTCTAACCATTCGGTGATCGCTACCAGTTTTCACCCTCGCGATCACGGAGACATCACTGAACAGTTGTCGTCTGGTCGTCATAATGAAGTCAATCTCATTTTTTGTCGAACCGTCGGGGCTCGACCAGGTCCACTTCCTGTGGGGCCGCTTCTGGAAAAAAGAGTTCATCATAAAGAGTCCCTCTTTCTCCATGAAGTCGGCCAGCTGCTGGCCCCTTGGGTTCCGTTGCCCTATTCCAAATTTCCCTACTTTCAGCTCACCGTTCTCTCTTGTGCCTAGTTTTGCATTGAAGTCTCCCATTAACACCGTATATTGGGTTTTGGAGGAATGCATGGCTCTAGAGATATCCTCATACATTTCCTCCACCTCCCCATCGGGGTGTACCGAGGTTGGTGCGTAAACCTGTATGACCTTCAGCGAATACCGTTTGGTGATTCTGAGTATAAGGTACGCAACCCTCGTCGACACACTCCCGATCTTTACAACGTTGTTAACGAGAGACTTGTGGACGATAAATCCGACACCTCCTTGGGACAGATGGTCGCCCTCCCGGTGATAGAGCAAGTTGCCGGATTCGAGGATTACCGTGTCCTCCCCCTCTCTTCGGACTTCGGATAATCCTATAATATGCCAGCGCAACTTGTCTATCTCTTCTTCCAGCTCCACGATCTTCTCGTCAGTCCTCAGGGTGCGTGCGTTGTACGTTGCCAGGTCGAGTCGTCTAAGGTGGCAACCGAACCTCCACCGGAGATTCTTAGCACCCCCTGCCCCGCCGTTACCATGGTCGCCACCGTAGCCAGGAATAGCGGGGCCGCCGGGGACTGGGGGCCGTCTCTTTGTTACATTCATAGGGGGGTATTTGCCATAGTTGCCACGCTTGGCGAGCGGGTTGGCAACCGCAGTTTTTTTATTGTAATTTTGGCTATTATCAGGAAGATGCTGCTGCCCTGGCTACATAATATTAATATATATTATACAGGGGGCTTATTCCCTTGACTGCTTTTTTTAAGTGGTTACTTGCTTTAAGTGGTTACTGCGGCTCATAGACATCTACATGTAATCCTCGATTACGAATCAAAATGCAG